TTCCTAAATCAACTTTCGTAGAGATAAAACCGAAACGTGTCAAGATGTTGTCGAAAATGGGCTGGATCTTAACTGTTTGGGCGGAAATCAGGTTCTACAAGGTCCACATAAAAGGTTAACAGCAACAAAATAGCAAAATAAATTAAATTTTTAACGCGTTCCAACTTGCAGCTATATGAAATAAAGAAATAAAAAAGATATAATTTCTTATTATAAATTGTCAATAAATTATAAAAAGATTGTGTTTTCTGATTTATTAATTATTATTTATGAATTATACAAAAAATCATTGAAAAGTTAAAATTTGTTCTTTATGTTGTTTTGACCTCCAATCACATGGTTCACAAAACCTTTGAAACCATAAAATTATTTCACCTGAACAAATATTTAAAGGTTTGAGTGAAAATGTATAAATAAAATCGAAATCTGAAGATTATTTCTCCAAATTTTCAATTAGCTGTCAACGCGTAGTGAACACTGAAATTCAAAATTTATGGCAAAATTTTTGTTCTTAAAACATAAGAAATTTTCATCAAAAATATTGAGATCAAAATTCCCCTAAATTAACGTGTACTTATCACATAAAGGGAGCATTATTTATAGAAAAATATGATAAAAAAATACTGGCATTGGTTGTGAGTTGGTTTCTGCTGCGGACTTGTGCAATTAAATAGAGACGCGTCTTTTGTTGTTTGAAATTCTATGATGTATGGAAAAATAGAGGGTGTGCTGCTTATATGCGTGCAGAATATTTTTGTTTGAATTATGCTCGCCTGTGACAGCCGCCGAAATATGAAATGAATGTGGAATAATAATCGGCAAGGCAAAAACTTTGCATCTGCCGCATGCACATTGTGTGCGCTTGATAATTAGCTGGCTCATTGTCGGCGGTGCTCTCCTGGCAAACAATAGCGTCACCGCTCATCATGCACGCACGCATGTTGTAGGGAAACCACCAAACCCGCACCGGTCTCAAACGCAAACCATCATATTCACAGGCCGTTCTGAAATTACATATTCAATTTTTATTAATTTATTTTCTCAGTATAATTATGAATGGCTTAAATTCCAGTTATTAATTAATGAAAATAAATATCGCAGAATATTATAATTATATTTATGACATAGAAATGAGTGTGCAACAATCTTCTTGCAGCAGCTATTATATTAACAAAAAGCATCTGTTTTGAATCTAGAATGCAACGATCAAATAACTCTTGAATTAGAATAGATGGAGTGATGAAGCTCGTCAAGTTACAAAACTGTATTGCAATGGCCAGCTCAAATTTCTTTACTTCTTAAAAATGCTCAAATATAAATAGAAATATTACGAAAACGGAATGTCTTAAACAAAATAAAAACAAAAACATACTAATTTAATGAGTTCCAAAATTCAACATTATTTATGTGTGGGTTTACATTCTTACTTTGCAATAAGTCAATATTTTTAAGTTTTTTCCTTTTTATCTGCCATTTTAACCAGAAAAAATGCAGTTATGCAACCGGTGCATCGTGGGCGCCGAGCACTTTGCCTGCCAACATTGGTGCGGCGTTTCTGCGGAAAGATGGCAGGTTAAAAAGCGTCGCAGGAATATATAAAAAAGCAGCTGTCAGCAGCTCCGGTCCCATTAAATCAGCTCAGTTAATGGAGTGGCGGGGAAAAAATCGCGTTTCCGAACGCGTTAAAGTTTGTCGTCGTTTGGCGTAGAGCGAGCAGCGACTCGTCGGTGAATTGCTGCAAATTGTCAATTAACGTATCAGTTCAAAACCAATTTGTCCGCAGCAGCAAGTTTTGAAGCACTTTATATTAAGTGACGATGGAGCGAAAAGAGCCAGCGAGAGATGCTGCGGGAGAGGGGAACGAACTATGCACGCGGGAGGTATATCACAACCTCCATTGGTTGGTTCGCCAGTTAGTGGCGAGAGCGAAAGAAGCGGCACAAGAGAGAGAGAGAGAGGAATCGGAGCAGCGGACACGACCAGCAGAGAGAGAGGCTGCAAATGTAATATTGGCCTCTCTCCCTCTCGCCGGGGCTGTTTGCTCTCGACATAAAAGCGGCAAAAACGGGGCTGTCGTTGCCATGTCACATCTTTTCCACCGCAAATTGAGATAATATTAAAATCGAGTTTCCCGTCCGGACTCGCTCTCGTATTTCTGCTCCAATGCGAGACGGAAATAATTTTGACGGCAACGTGCAACATAAATTCATCATCCAGTTTTCAAATTTGTAATAAATTATGGTTAAATTATAAAGCAATAATTAAAGAAATATTTTATATTATATTATTAAATTTTTAAGACCTATTACAATTTATGATTTTTTTTTTTATTAAATTCTTATTGTATTATTTGTACTGTTTTTCTTTCATTTTTTATGCAAACCCGAACCAGCTCAATATATAGGTAATAAAGTTTGTAGATTTTCTTATTGATAATAATATATATTATTTTGAATTATATCAGTTCATACAGTAGGAAGATAATATTCATTTACCGCGAGCTACTGATAGGGTTAAATTTTTTTCTTATTGCAGGATTTTTATTCTTTTTGTAAAATAATAAATTATTATACATATTCAATACGAGTGGAAATTGGAAATAATATGAATGGTGGGTTTCGTGAAAAGAGCTATTTTACTTAAAACAGTAAATTAAATGAATAAATAAGAACCAAGAACTCTTCAAAAGTGGATTGAATTGAAATTAATTTATTTCATCAATTGAATTTTTATGTATTAATTCTTCATTTATACAAGCGAATGTTGTCAAAATGAGAAACCAGCTATCTTCCCTTGACTTAAATTTCCCGCATCTCTGCCAAGTATAAGCCGCGAATCGATAATAATAATTTTCGGTGAGCGGCGCTCAATCTGTCGCCACGCGGCGCACAAATCAAATCAAAACGCGCGAGCAGCGAACGTTATTCTGGCGGGCGGATGGATGCTGTTTTCTGGTGGGTGGCTCGGTTGTGCCGACGAACGGACGATAAAACGCGCGCGCGGCACGAGAGAGCAATTACTGTCGCTGTCACGCTTAAATTAACCCACAAACTGACTAATTTCGTGCTCATTACACACGCCGCGTAATCAAGTTACACGTTATTAACTGCCGGTGTATGTGTGTGTGGGGCGCGCGCGCACCAAGAATTATAATAATTTCTCCCAACTATGTGTCATTAAAAGCAAATTAGTGTTTCAATTATCTTCTACTGGGATGAGCCGCCGGCTCTCTCGGCGTTCTAGTCAAATTTAATTAAACGCGGGCGAGCGAGCAAGCGGGCGCACCGCACACGCGAATTGCATAGAGTGCAACACGCTGCTGCTTTGAAGGGAAGTTAATTAACGGCAGGTCCGCACAGCGAATATTAATTTTGCTGTGGATTGCGCCGATTGAACGACGCACCGAGACGAGTAAAATGCCCTCGCACACGGTAATTGGCGCGCGGACAAATCAAATTAATTCGCGCAGAGCTAATGATTCAGCCGACGAGGCTGCAACGTTGTCATGACGACCGCGGCCACGCCTGCAACAATCAATGAGCGCAATTTATTATTTTTTTTTAACCAAAATTTAAATTTATTACTTTGGCAAGATTAGAATCATAAAATTATGCTGCAGGAGAGTGAAAATTAAATTAAAAAATTTTTTGAACTTAATAATAATCATAATAATCATCATACATGAAAGCTGACATTAACAAAAGTGCACCATTGAATTATTTCAATCGTTACAATTTTTGTAATTTAATAAACATTTTTCAAAATCTTAAAAAAAAACAATATAAATTTTGGGGAGGGGTCAGCTGAAATCAGCAATGCCCTTTTAATTTACACTTCGATTAGTAAAGTTAATTTATTTCAATCCTTTTAAATAAATAAATTCAAGTAATATTATTTACAGGTAAATATGGTTTATTTTGCATTAATGTATAAATTGACATTTCACTCATTTTTAAGTAAATAACATCCAAGAACGGAGATTGGCAGCTAATTTCATTTTGCTAACTAACCCAAGAAATAAATCGAAAATATTCGTCTCTTATCGCTCAAGCTGAAGTTTCTGCTGGCTGCTGATTACAAAAACCAATCTGAGCAAAATCAATTTGCAGGGAAACTCGATACTGCTGCACGCGCGCAGCAGCCAAATAATTGGCTATATCACAAATCAGATTTGCGCTGCTCCCCATCACATTCAAAATTTTATTAGCCGTCTAAGACCCTTGCGACTTTTCCTCTCGCTGGCGCAAAATTGGCTGCCACTTACCGCCCATAAATGGCAATTTGACACACAAGTGTGCACCGCCCTCTCATTGAAACTCAATTTGTCAGCAGCTCGGCCCAACGACCAATTCTGCCGCAGCATTGCAGAATTTCACGTTGAAACCAAATTTGGTTCCGAATGGGCGTTAACTCTGATCAAGTAGGGGAAATTGTAAAAAAAACCTCAAACGAAAAGTTACGAAGAGTAATTTGGGATATACATCGGATCGGAATAATACATATAATTAATTTTTTTAATTTTGAAAATAATGTCTAGATAAAGTGAATCAGATTGTTAAATTTGTTGGTAAATTGGTCGAACTATAAAAATACTGCATAAAATGAAAACACACCCTCCACGATTTTGTAATTAAAAAATATTTGTAAAAATATTTTTTAATTACTTTTATATTAAACATATAAAGTTTATTTGTATTTTAACATTTAATTTTGTTAATTTTAAAAATAAAAAACATAATTATTTTCTTCTTAATTTTGTAAGACCTTTATAGCTAAAAATATAGATTTCAATATCATTTTGGCTCATAATTTTGATGCACTGCTCTTGATGACTCATTTTATTCGATGCTTCTAGGCTCTATATTTGTAAAACAGAAATTATTTCTGATTTCCAGCCTAAAATAGAGAAAGGCTAAAATTATCAATATTCAAATAAACTTGACACTTGATTAATTTTAAAAATGAAAAATCTAACGTTTCTTGTATAAATTGTGTTTCAGGTTTGGTTTCAAAACCGACGAGCCAAGTGGAGGCGGCAGGAGAAGATGGAGGCGGCCCGTTTGGGTCTTAGTGAGTACCCGATGGGCACGATCGGCCGACCGGGGGCGGCCGGGGCGATGTCGGCGGCCAACTCGTTAGCGTCGGCGGCTGGACTGGCGCTGCCCCTGGACCCGTGGCTGTCGCCGCCCCTGCTCAACTCACCCCTGTCGCACCTGCCCGGCTTCCTGTCGCACCCGCAGAACGGCTACACCTCGTACCTGACGCCACCTTCGTCCACGCAGCATAACATCTCGTCGCTGGTGGCCGCGGCCACGATCGCAGCGGCCGCGGCCGCCGCCGACGCCAACAAGGAGCAGCGGGACGAGGAACGCTCCAGTTCAGACCCGCGCTCCTCCAGCATCGCGGCCCTGCGGCTCAAGGCAAAGGAGCACGTCGAGTCGCTCAGCAAAGGACTGCAGATGGTCTAGAGAAGGTGTGAAAATCGCAGCAGATCTCACGGTTAGATGTATATTGCGGCGCCAAAATGCAAAAAGGACGCTCAGAGGATTAGTGGATGTGTTTGAATGTCTCCTAATTGGATTAATTTTCTTCATCTCCTGATAGTGCTGAAATTGATGAAAATTAATTTGTAAAAAATACAGAGTTGTAATTAAAAATTTAATTGATTAGCAATATCATATGTTTCCTGTAAAGTGACCAAATATTAATCAATTTTAAAATTGAAAACTGGCCAGTTAAAAATTTATCAATCATTTGGAAATAGTACCAATGATTCTAAAAACTTTTATTAAAAATGTCTTTTATCTCTTAAATTGTATGTCGTTTTTGTATGATAAAAAATTCATAATATTGATTTAAATTCTTTAATTACCAACTCTGTATTTGTGTTATGTCCAACAAAATAATGAACGTTTCAAATTTTTTCCATAGTGGAACAAAAGTCTGTGTTTCTTCTTTTCAGCGATAAAACGCCAAATTTGTTTCTCTTTGAAAAATAATCAGAGGAATTAACATTCATACATTTATGTTAAATATGTGGTGTGTGTTTTTTAAATGCAGACCCAGCGGCGATGAAATGGTTGTTCAAAAACAGATTATTAACTGTGCGTAAGATCCGTCGAGTGATTTAGTGTCTCAATAATTAATTGTATAAAATAAATATGTAATGAATCTCGATGCGGAAAATAAAAAAGACCCCTATATAATAACGATACGATATGTACAAGTGTGTTGCTCATTTTATTAACCCTTTGACCGCGGCGGGTTTATTAAATTTTTGACGAGTGCTGTCTGAAAAGCGTTTTTAATTGTCGTCGTCCGCGCGCGTGCAAACACCAATGGGGCTGCTTATTAACTTTTGCTTGACAAGTTATGCACTCAAGCATCAATATATAAATCTGGGTCCCCCGAGCAGCACCGGCCACCGAATGCACAAATAAAAGAGCTAGAGAGAGAGCATGAGTGGTTTATTCAGTGATATTATGGGCAAAGCACCCAGAGTGGAAAAGAGTAGAAAAGAGCAGACGACCCTCTCTTTTGCCGACGGTCGCCCTCTGTTTGTTTTCGCAACGGCAGACGCACGCGGAATGTCATTTTGTAGCCCTCTGCTTATTTCAGACTAAATGATCAGATGACTTCATTCACCAGCTTTTGTTTGTAATAAAAAGTAAAAATTCCTACCAAAGGAAAGCTTATTATTTGAAAATTATTTCAACTTTCATCTAAAAAGAAAGTAAATTTATTCCCTCGCAAAATTTTATAATGTATATTAAAATGTAAAAAGTATTTATAGGTACACATTTATCCTTTTTTACTGTTTCCATCTCTGTCTCTCCCACCCTTACTGCTTTTCGGTGACTCTCTGCTCTGATGGCGGGTGCGCGGATGCGGAAAACGCCCGGCGGTGGCAATTTGTCCAAAGCGCATCTCATATTAAGAGATCCGAGCCCGCGGGCGGCCCGGCCGGGGTCCTTTTTGTTTGCACAAACCGGCGCGCAAGTTGTGCAATTACTGTGAGCCCTCTCTGCGAAATGAAATTAATTGGAGATCAGCAGCGCGCTCACTGCTCTTCTCTATTTGCAATTTCCGGCGCCTGCCCGTTCTGCTGTCGCAAAACAGACCGAACACACACACAGCCCGCCAAAAGTAATTTTCCAGGTAATCGACCGCCGCTTAGATATTTTTGTCGACGACAAATTTCATCAACCTGCATCGGATCGTTCTAACTTCTGCTGGCAAATAAAACGCTATATCACAAATTAAATATATAATTATGTATTAAAATTCCTTAATCGTACGTCTGATGATTTATGTAAAACAGAAACAAATCATCATGAGGACTATGGCCACTCAGCATAATTATATTTTAAGGTATTTGCCTTGAAAATCAATTTATAAAAAAAATAATTAAAGAATTAAAAACAAAAATCTTTAAATTTTAGAAAGTAAAACAATAATTCTGTTAATTTTTTCTTCATTCTTGTAATTTATTATTAACCTATAATAAAGAATAAATTGCATTTATTTTTTTTAATTACATAAAAATGTTGGCCATAATTTTTTTGAAGAAGTTGACACTCGAGGAGATGATCATGGAAATGAAGATTCGGGCTTTTCCTCGTTGCAAAAAATTGTTTTTTATTCAAAAACAAACGGCTCTACCAGTTTCGGTCACGGTCTGCGACCCTATTTCATGAGCAAGAAAAAATACAAAAAATCAGCAAAATTTAAAACCACATTTTAACATAAAAATAAAAATCTTAAAACTAACAAATTCAAGTACCAACCTATTTCATGAGCAAACGCGCTGCTCGCTGACTAATACAAGAATGAGCTAGCTAAAGACAGATTGATTGGGGGAGGTGATCTTTCCTCCCCCAATCAATCTGTCTTTAGCTAGCTCATTCTTGTATTAGTCAGCGAGCAGCGCGTTTGCTCATGAAATAGGTTGGTACTTGAATTTGTTAGTTTTAAGATTTTTATTTTTATGTTAAAATGTGGTTTTAAATTTTGCTGATTTTTTGTATTTTTTCTTGCTCATGAAATAGGGTCGCAGACCGTGACCGAAACTGGTAGAGCCGTTTGTTTTTGAATAAAAAACAATTTTTTGCAACGAGGAAAAGCCCGAATCTTCATTTCCATAATTTTTTTAACAGAAATAAAATAGAATAAAAAAGATGATTTCTACCGTGCTTTCATTAAATAGTCTTTTTTTATCTCACGTGCATACTATTTTTCTTAAAACCCAGATAAATTTATCTTCAGTCCTCATTTTCTATTTCACTTCCTAATTTTCAATTAGTGGTGGAACGAAAATTGAATAATGAGATGGCAGAGCCCTGCTTGTTTACCCTGCTGAGCATATTTTAATTAAACCACTATCGCCGCCAAGCAGACAGACAAGCAAACAAATACACATCAAACGTTAATATGCCAAATTCGCTTTCTATTTATCTCCAGCACAAGTAAGAAACTTAATTGCCAGCTAATTCTAAGGGTATACAGCAGCAAACCATCCGAGCCTAAACATTTCTTATTTGCTCTGCCGCTCATTACGCGATTGTTTAATTTCGCCCGCCCCCAGCCGAATAGCTGCCGCTACATTATATTAGGACGGCATAGGAGCGCGTGTGTGTAGCGCTAGGGTCGTATATAAAACGCACTCGAGGCGACGACGAGAGGGTGGCACCGCGCGCGCCTCCGACATCAAAGACATGAGCAGTTTTAATTCCACTTTGTCTCTGCTCTCTGCGTCGCCGTCGTCGTTTTATATTAATACACGCACAAGTGAGTGCAGTTAAGGCAATAAAATGGTAATTCGTGTTTGTCTTGCTTAATCAGGCGGAAATAAAGGATGGAGAGAGCGAGCGAGCGTTCGCACAGAGAGTAGCGCTCTCTTGCAGGCGCCACACGCGCGCACGCGGCTTTCATATTATCCACGGTTGCTAAAAGAGCACCACGGAATTTACAGTTGCACATCATCTGATATTTTAAAGCAAACTTATGATTATTGAAAAATAATAATAATAAAGTTTTACAGTTAACAGATTTTTAAATTTCTTTCCAAATAGTCTTATCTATTTTTTCTAGTTTATCACATTGCATTGAATTCCGAAAAATAAGGTTTTGCTTTTTAAAAATTTATCGCATGTTTTGTTTCATCTGCTAAATTTAATAATATTGTATGTACAACAATTGATGTAGAGAAAACGTTTCGCATGCAAACTCCTAAGTATAAATATTGCGATAAGGTATTTTGGCGACGAAAGAAGGATAAAATGATAATGAGGGTCTAGGGCAGCACTAACTTAAACAAATGAATTGAGCGTAACATAACACCAAAAAGAAAAAAACCACTATTAAGATTTATCATTAAACTGTTAGCGGATTGTTTCATTATGTTTTTCAAATGTTGAGACCCAATCTCCAAAATGATTCTGATCTAGGACGTGGCAGCTGTTTCTTCTCATGAGCAACTCTAAAGCTTTCGCCTCTCTCTCTATTCGGTGCGCATTGTATAATATACTTTTCAATTTTTGGCAGGCGGCCTCTATTACTTTTTGATAACGCGTGGTACTTGATTTGTCCGTCGTCGCCAATCTCTCATTCCGAATTCAATTACCGGCCGCTATTGAGCGCGCCTGGCATGTGGGCCCCCAGCGAAAAACTATAATATACAACTATGACTCCGTTGGTCTAGAGTCGGCGAGAGACGCCAAACCAGCTTCTGCTCGCGTCATTTTCTTTTTTACACAGATGCAAACACGCTGCGTGCGCGCTCTGCTGATCAAATTAGCCATATTGAGCTTTCAAATTATCGCAGCGAGTGGTCCTTTGTCTGAAAGCTTTGTCGCAAACACACAGAACCCCTCTGCTCTCTCAAAATCAAAGCCAAAATTTTTTATTACCAGAAAATATTTTATCAAAACTCAAATGTATCCCCTGAGACAAACATATTAATATTTATGTAAGGTTTTAGACTTTAATTTTAAATAGTTATTTTTTTTCACATTTTTTTATACTTAATTTTATTTTTGTTAGTTTAATTTTGTTTTGGCTCAATTTTGGTTTTCAGTGATTCAGATCCTTAATATTAAACAATCTACAAAAAAGGCATTTTTCTTGGCTTAATTCTACGTCATTCTACGTAAAATGTTGATAAAAATAATTTATAACAATTAATAAATTCAATTTGGTAAGCTTGCCGATATCTTTATTGAATTTCTCCAACAAACCGGTTGTCACATGCTCTCCTACACTTGGAATTAAATTTTAATAATCTTGCCGGCGCTAATGGCCTCCCTAATTGAGCCCAAAAGATCAGCCGTGTTACTTTATTTATTAATAACCGATACGCCTAAAGAACAAAAGGCTAAAAGCGAATTAATTAATTTACAAATGTACACCGACTTTAGCTTGGGTGCAAACAAGTTTCCGAACCCACTCTCACCGCTGACATCATCGAATTAATAAATCTCGCTGCTGCGAGTGAGTGAGTGTTTTGAACACACGCCCAAATTTAATAATAATCGACGTGCCTTAATCTCTGACATAACCATTAGCGGCTGTCTACGTGACACGGCACCTCGACAGAGAACTGAAAACTGCTGCTGCTGCTGCAGAGATGCGGACTAACCGATATCCCATCCACATTAAAAGGAACGAAAAGAATTAAGAGCCTTTCCAACAGACAGACGGAGATAAAACAAAACTGCTTGTGAGGAGGAAGCGAGAAAGAAAAGCGGTTGTTTGCACCAGAGTGTTTTCCTTATAATGATCCCAACAAATTAAATTACAGACTTCACACTCTTGTTTTATCTGCTGCTGATGGACGAAGAGTGCAGCTTTGAGAAAAATAAATACAAATCATGTTTCATATCAGCTTGAAGATAAATATATACAAAGAGAAGAGGAAAATAAAATTAATAAATAAATTAAATTATTCTTATGAGAAGAAGATATCAGGGAACACAATTATGCCGATCAATTATTATTTTAGTCAATCTCAGGTATCTTCAGACTGCGATAACTGAGTGTTGAAAATTAGAAAGCTTGAAAACATTTGACATTTCTTTAAATATTCTTTAAAAATATGAGTCGAACCAAAATTTACAATGGTGCTAAAAGAATATAATGTTAATGAAAATTCTAATTAGCTCTAAGGCACAGTGCATCTTTAATCAATT